ATCCCCAAACGGCCTCATCAACAGAAACCATGGTCAGCGGACCCTGGGTGCCAAGTTAGGAAGCAAACCTGAACATTAAGGAAAGACAGGTGGCAGCTTAGTGGTGACCATGAGGAACTAGAGCGAGCCGTGCTGGGGCCGTGGCGGTCCTTTGTAGAGGCCGTTTCAGATGTGATTCTGGGTCAGGCGGACTTGGGGTCTGCTGCACCTCACCCAGAATGAAGCTGTATGGAAACGGGTAGCAGTATGGCTACCTGTGTTTAGCGCCATCAACGCTAGGAAAGGCCACCTCCACGCCTTGCAAAGGACAGTGGCCCCTGCAGAATGGAATTGGCCCAATCCTCCCTGGACGGCATGGATTTCCAAATCAGTGTGTGCCCTCCTTAGAGCTGGAAGCAACACTTACTTTCTTCCTTTCACTTGTTTTTCGCTGCAGAAGAAATGTACACACGATGGAGAGAATAAGGAGACTATAAAGCTGCAGAGGGCAAGCCTTATTCTTCCCCCACATCTACAGATGGTCACTGTTGACATTTTCATGCATTTCCTTCTAGCCCCTTTCCTTAGTGTTTCTGTAGAGCTGAGTTTATACACCATACCTGATTTTGTCCTCTGCCGTTTTCTGAATTAAACTTGTCTTCATAAGCCTTTTCTCCCGATATTAAAAGTCCCTCACATGCATAGTTAACTCGAATGTTACCTTGAATGGTAACACTGCCCACGCCCAGCCCCACTAGAAGGCGAGTCTCAGGGAACGTGGATGTTTGCTTGCTCTTGTCTGTCGTGGAAGCCCAGAGCATAAAGCAGTGTAGGCCATAGCAGGCATTTAGGGAGCATTTGTTGAATGAATGAATGACTGCATGGCTAATATCCACTACCCCCTGCACACACAGTGGTTTCTAACTTATTTTCACCCGTAATGCCAAGGTCAACACCTTGCTAGGTCACTGCCCACCCGTGGGTGAGCTGAAGAAATAAGTATGTCTCAGTTCCGGATACCAGACTGCATCCACCAGAGTCGGGGCACAGGGTCAGAGTCGGGCTGTGCCGCATCCTGCCCTTGACCCTGGATGGTGTTCTTTTCTGCAGGCCTTGGCTCCTGCTCGGTGCCGTGGGCAGTTTGGATTAGAACATCCCTTCCAGCTCCCTCATCCTGACCCAGCTATGGGAACAGAAAACGTCGAGCCGGCCACCCAGGCCTTACACCTGAGCCTGCACCCCTGTTATGGGCTAGACTGTGTCTCCCCAAATCCATATGCTGAAGCCCTAAACCCCAGGACTTCAGACTGACTATACTTGGAGACGGGGCCTTGAAGATGTAGTTAGAGTACAGTGAGGTATGTATGTATGTATGTATGTACAATGAGGTGTCCTGTAAGAAGAGGAGACTAGACACAGACACGCAGAGACCATGCAGACCCAGGGAGAAGACAGCCACCTACGGGCCAAGGCCTCAAGAGATCCCGCCCCTCCCACACCTTGACCTCAGGCTTGTTGACCTTCAGGTTTGTTGAAAATGAAATTTCTCCCAGTTCAGTCTCTTGGTACGGTGGCAGAGCTGGCGCTGGGACAACTCCCCACCCCCCACCACCAGCTCTCCCTCGCCCGGCGCCATTGTGACCACACGGGCTGTGGGTGACCACAGTCATCCCTCCCCCACCATGTGTGGGCTGGAACTGTGCTCAGAGCTAAAGGCAGCTCTTCCAAACAGCTAGGGAAACTGCAGTGTGGGGAGCCCCAGAGCTAGGGCCTTGGGTTTGGTTCCAGGCCTGTCTGACACACAACACCATCCCCTCCCACCTTGCCATGGTGCTGTATAAACAAGCTCCCTGTCCACCCCAAGTCAACAGGCAGCAAAAGGCAATGGCAAGGCCTCGCCACCGTACCCAAGCCCTCCTAGAGGGGCCCAGCACTCTCAGAGTGACACTCACGGCCCTGACATAAATGGGGACATGAAGGGGGGGCTTGTACCAGTGGCCTCAGGCTCAGGTCCCCTGGCCTCTCTGGGTGGCTGAAGGCTGCACCGGGAGATGCCCAGTCACACCTGCCAGCACCAAGCTCCGGAATGACACCAACCGGTGGGAGGCACGGGCGACCTGCCCTCATTGCTCTGGCTGTCCCCGTTGCAGATGGAAGCTCCTGCCCTGTCAGACATGCACGGTGGCCAGATGCTGGAGCCTGTGTGCCAGGCACGGAGACCACACTGCCACCCCCAGCTGAGGGCTGTGGTGGACGCCAGTGCTATGCACACAGTGGACTCGGGAAGGTCTGGGGCATGAGCAATGGGGGGCAGAAAAGCAGGTGCCAGGTACAGAAGGATGAGTTACCTCTGAAGGGTGGCAGCGAGCATGGCCATGTGGCAAGGACTGTCCTGACCTGCCAAGGGCCTACCTGTGTCTATACCTTGCTCCCTCCTGGTGACCAGTGCTGCCGTTCTTACTGGTCAGAGAGCCACACTTGGGAGGGTCACTCCAGGGTCCTAGACCAGCAGGCAGACACCAGGGCTCAAACCCCAGTCTCCTTGCCCCTCAAAGCCCAGCCCCGGCGCCCACATGTCCCTTCACCAGAGACAATCACAAGTCCACGAGAGCAGAGGGGGTACCCGTGCTCCTTCTGAGAACTCTGTGATTACAGGAGGGACCAGAGGTATCAATTATGGCCACAAAAAGCATGAAATTACCCTGTGTGCACCCAGCCATTATCCCCACCTGCCATTAGATAAGTGTCTGGAGGTTCTGCCAAGTCTCAGGGTGCCCTGCTCTCCAGCCACCCCCAGATAACAGGTTGGCCATTTCAGAAATTCTCTTCCAAAGGATTCTGCCTTGATCCTGCCCCTCCCATTAGCTCTCAGGCACTCTCCCAGTACCCACTGCAGCTCCATCCCACTGGAAGGGGAGGGGATTGGTACCCCTGGAAGGGGAGGGGATTAGTACCCCTGGGAGGGGGTCCCCCCCAAGGCTGAGGAAGCAGAGTAAGCTCTCACTAAATGCACATTCCCAGTCCAATCATCCCCCACTCCCCCAAGGAGAAGCAGCTGGTTTCTGCACCATGGCCAAGGTCCATACTGCAGTCTGTGTGGCAAGACAGGCTTAGGCTAAAGAGCACAGGAGTTAGAGAGCATAGGGTTCGAATCTTGCTCATGGCTACGCATGAGCAGAGCAAATGGCTCAAGGCTGAGCCTTGGGTGGCACCCCGAAACATGGGGTGACTGCCTCTCCCCGCCAGGGAATGTACTGACGAGCCCGCAGCCTCGGGACTGGCCCTAGGAGGCTCTCAGACAGGCATCCTCAGGCCGCGTTCTAGAAGCCCCCCACCCCGCCCAGGCCTCCTAACTGGTCTCAGTTTACCCTGCAGCACAAGGCACAGCCGAGATGCAACGACGTAGGATTTTCCAGCGCCACACAGAGACTGTCCGGGTGGGTGCGGCGGGAGAGGTAGGGTTGGGAGGCGCAGGGGCGAGGAGCTAGAGACGACGCGCAGAGATCTGAGTCAGGTTTCACAAAAATGCGGGTTCCACGTCCACGGCAAGTCCGGGGGCTCCGTGAGTCAGTCGGTCTAATGCCCCCTACCCAGGTTCTGCAGGAGCCGCGCAAGGGCGGCACCCCCTGCTGCAAAGCCCCGCCTGTCATGACACCTCTCTCAGTCGCTAGGTCTGAGGTGGCTCCGGGCCCCTGGGCCAGACTGACCGCATTTTGCAGCCTGGAGCATCCCCAGACCCCCGTGAGAAGCGAAGGAGTGACGCCTTCCAGACAGCGCAGCGCAGCCGCCGGGCGGCACGGTGGAAAGGATTCCCCTGCCCGCGACACAGAGCTACGCACTCAGGACGCTGGAGCAGGGGGCTGCGCGCCAACCCCTTGGGGCTGCAAAACCCAGGAGCAAAAGTTGGGTGGAGCCGCTGGCACATTTTCCCTCGTGCTACCTCAGAATGCCTTCAGCCGGTGCTGCACCAACCGAGCGCAGGCACCCTCCAGCCCCCGGCCCCCAGCACTCACCTGCACTCATCTCGGCAGCGGCTC